TATCCACAAGCATATTAACAATGACTTCAAAAGATTCACCACATACCTTGCAAACTGCCTTCAGCACTCTACGCAAAACAGCAAAGCCTTATCTCAAAAGCCCGGGGAAGAATAATGAAGAACAATATAGAATAATAGGTAATATGCAGGAATATACAAATTGTAAGAGTAAATGGCCAGTTATCCCTAAAGCATGCAGCCTCTTTATGTAGTATGTCAAACGGTAAACTTTTTTCGATAACAGTAAAACATGAGAAGACCAAGAAAGATCAGAGGAAAAAATAACACCAAGATATTTGACCTTCGATACTGTGTTTATTAAGGAGTCTTTAATGGCACAAGCATTATGGGATCCCAACATAGAGTATAGGTTCTGTCCATGTCTCAAGCTAAAATTAACAGCTTGACATTTAGATGGATTGAGTCAGAGACCGTTACCAACAGACCAGCTTTCAATAAGAGATAAAAACTCATTCATTTCTATGGGATGTAAGGAGGTAGAAATCGGCATACATACAATGAGGTCGTCCGCATATTTTACAAAAGTGTTTTCTGTGGAAGATGACAGATCATGCAGAAAAATAGAGAAGAGCAGAGGTGAAAGAACGGCTCCTTGTGACACACCTACAGTAGACAGTAGAGATGTTGAACACTTTCCTTCAAATACAGTGTACTGTTCTCTTCCAGAAAGGTAGGAACATAGCCAGTTGGTTATCCAGCTGTCAGTGTCGACGCTGATCAGCTTGTTAAGTAAGAGGTGTCTTGGAATAGAATCAAAAGCAGAAGTGTAGTCCAGGAAAGCGCATCTAACATACTTCTTACCCTTTTCCAACCCGAACACTATATTGTGATGCGTAACATCAACGGCATCTAATATGCTTCTTTTGCATTTGTAAGCAAACTGATATGGATCACAGCGCTCTTCTATTGCAGGTTGAAGTGGGCAATTCATAAATGTTTCTGTTATAACGTATGGGTGTCTGTTTGATATATCGATTGCTTGCGTGTGCCCTCTTAATATATAAACGTCCAATGATACATAAAATCGTACGGGCAGTCTTGATTGCTACTCGGTCCGCTATATGTCTAGCCCAGCCAGTTGAGTCCAGAACACAAATAACATCCTCGGCAATATGAATCATTATTCACAAGCATACTGGGTTTATATACTAACCAAACAGACCAAATTATACCAAAAAATAGAAAAATAACATTTGTACAATAATTGGCCAATGTGGCTGTGGATAGGGGGAGAGTAATCAATCAATTATAATTCAAAGGTCAAAATAGGGGTTATGATAGGAGGAACACGAATACGATTAAGCCAGTTATTTAACAACTATACAATAGGAAATAGGCATATTACATTTGTCCATAAACAGACCTCAGATTTACCATTCATAATTCACCAGGGGATGTAACAGTTTCCATTATTTTGAGGAAAGGTGAAGTTATTGTTATGGATCTAAGTTTCACATTTTTATCACCAGAAGCTTTCTTTGGTATAGGGATTATCTTTATCTTTCTCCACATTTTCGATAAGACAATAGTTGAGAAGGATCTGTTAAAGATATTCGTTAATGGATAACATAAAACATCAGCACATTTTTTAAAAAGGAGGTTTGGGATACCATCAGGTCCTAAACATTGGGATGAATTCAGAGACTGGAGACATTTCCGGACATCATTTTCAGTGAAACTGGGGACACAATTATTCTTCAAACCCTTGGTTATATAGGGAGCGTGATGTCAGATGACTGACGTACAAAGGACTTATTTAAGTCACAAACATTCAGCTGGTTATCGCTTCTCATCTGCCTGTCCCCTGTAATTTCTTTAAAGAGTTTCCACATACTTAGAGAGCTTTTACAAGATAGGAGTTCTTGAGTAAACAGAGTTGAGCAGTTTAATCTCTAGTTTTATTTGACCATTTAACTTACGAACTTCAATAGTGCTTTTCTCCTTGCACATCCTTTCTTTTACCCTCCGTAGTCGTTTTAGTTGTGGAGATGTAAGTCGATCAAAACTTAAAAAGAAGGTTTCGGTAGGACAGCAAATATCAAAACAGAATTTAAGATAAGAGGTGATAACATCCGTTGTGTTTTCTATTGAGTCATCTGTAAATAATTCCCAGTTGGTCGTACGAAACATGTTTTTCAGATTTTGTAAATTTTCTTCTAAGTAATTCCTATATATGACTTTTTTGGTATGGTGTATGTGTGTACTCTTTCCATGTTTACCATATACTTTAGGTAGAACACGAATTATACAGTGATCCGAGCTGGACAATGGAGCACGTTTGCGAGTCATATATGTACCCACATCATTAATGAAAACCAAGTCTAGATGAGAAAATCATCAACATATCAAAATTATATAACCATGAAAAAATTCGTTATTATTTTTTAGAAACACTTTAGTGTGTTTAGGATGCAAAACTTTCAAGTAAATTATCGGCTATTTAACTCGGATCGTTAATTAAAGTGTAAGGGTTTGTTTCTTTAAATAAAAAAAGGCAACAACCTGTTTATTCATGATGACAATTTAAAGAGTAAGTAACAGGGTCTTTATTATTCTGCAAGAAAAATGAAATTGTAATTCAACTTTTTTTTTTTTTTGTTTCCATAAAACAATCCATTGAATTCGATTTGAGTAATTTCTCACTTCTTTTAGTAGTTTTCTAATTATTAAATAAAGTTGAAATTAAACAATCAAATACGAATTGATCTTAACCTAATCTCTTTGATATTATATTTTCCTTTTGTTTTTTTCCGGTTTGTCGATTTTTAATTTACATTTAAAAGAAAAAAAATTTTTTTTTGTTATACTGAAGTGAATCATTTATATTTTTAAGATGTGCTACTCAGTTTATTATAAAAAAGAGAAAGATACTACTTTGTTGTTAGATGACTTTGAAGATGTACAATTTTATTTTTATTTTTTTTTTGTTGTTGCATAGGGAAAACGTTTTTGCATGATCGAATGAAGAAATTAAGGGAACTGTAATAAAATGTTTTGGAATTTGCATTTTTATTTTGTGTCTCAGTTTCAATCTACATTTTTGTATTTTTTTTTTGCTTTTCAGTAAATAATGTAGAAATTAAATGTAATTTAAATGAGGCCAAAACAATTAGATTTGAGAAAATAAAATATTTATGCAAAATAGTATCTATACTGAGATAGTCAGGAAGATTTGTAGCTAAGGTGGGTGATTTTGATGGAGTTTTGTTCTCTGAGCTGAATGGTTTGGTCGTTGAGTATCTATACTGATATATAAGTGCTTTGTATGTAATAAGTGCCAAATACGGGAAATGTTGTTGTATTTCTTAAATGTAAATTATATATCAAGGAGAATCTCTGTCTTATTGTATTCTCTAATAAACTTTTAGTTGCAAGTATTGATGATTACTTTGTTTTTGACTAAGTTCAAACTTATCTATTTTTGGTCTTATATGAACTCCTCATTGAAAAGATGATTTGCCCTTAATCATGGATTTGAAGTGTATATGTTAAGCACACAGGTACTATTCAAGTTTTTGGCATGGTTAAATAGAAATAATACCCATATCATCATATTTGGTAAATTCTAACACTTATTCTAATCATATTCATCTGTAATGTGGTTCAAAAATATGTTAGTACCATCTATAGTTATAACTGTTTTTTAAAAAAATTCTCTCAGAAGATTCAGGTTTCTATTAAATATAAGATTAGTTTACGGTTCATGAATTTGAGGTGAGGTCAATAGGATAAAACATCAAACTTATGGCGGTCTGTTTGAACATCTGGGCTACATGTTTCTGCTCTCTAGATGTCTCAACAAGTTTTCTGTTTTTGCTTGTTTTAAGAAATCATTATGTTTATTAATCTTACAACCTATTAAGCTGCGTTTATGAAAAGTTTGCAACTTTCTGCTGTACAAGTTACAGAAAAGCCAAATCAGAAACATCTTAATTGCTGGCAATATGCAGCGAAAAGAATGTACATGATTCAGATGTCGGTTTATTAGACTGCTAACTTCTAACTGTCGACCATTTAATATTCATCGTCAAGATCGAACAAGAAGTAAAAAATGGAAACTTGTTGAAATACTTTATGCTGTGAATTCTATATTATACGAAAAATATAATATTGAATGAAGCTAACAATAATAATAATAATAACCTTTTATTATTCAATGAGAATTCCGAGTCCTGCTTCATTTTCTGCATATTAAGGATCTCATTACAAATCAAAATTCAGGTAAAAAAAGAAATATTAACGAAGTCAACTTTTGATTGATTTTATCATGAGTTTTAGACCACTAAGTTGTTTCACTCACTTCACAATGCGATAAAATATGAAGACATTGTGACTAGATCTTATTTTTTGAACAGTCTTGAATATATATGAAATTTTATCATCCACTCAAGATGTTAGTTGTATGGTATACAAAAAAAATCAACTTACAAATTATCTACCAGATGGTTATAGTAGATGCATTGGTAATATTTTCTTAAAAATTAATCTTAATTAATATTTAATTAAATAAGAAAAAATAAATCTTCTTTTAACTAAGATATGTTGGTTGATAATCAATAACTAACATTAGATTCACTTGGTATTGTTTGTTTGAATCTTCCCATTGATGTTTAGGACTGCAAACGATCTGTCTCTTATAGTTATGTGTGCATACTGTGCGTATCGCCTCGATATAGCCTTAATTTACAAATATTATAAGCTAAGATGGACGAAATGTGCGTCCTGAATTCCACTGCTAGCCACTGTTCATCTTCGTTTATAATAACTAACATTGTTAAAAAAAAAGATACTACTATTAGGTATAAACAGTTCATTCATCAACTCTTTGTTGATTAACCCTTACTGAAATGAAAGAATTTAATATGTTATCTTTTATGCTGTTACTATTTTCTTACATATCAAACAGACTCAATTTAAGTACTATATATTTAGTAAAATTAATTTAAACACTGAACTTTAAACATAATAAATAATCTTACTTGAAATAGAAATATAATTCTTGCAAAACTGAATATATGTGCAATAGAAAATAGTGCTTCACTAAGTAATGTTGGATCTGTTTCAGGCCACTGATTACGTGGTAATGGTTCTGTTCCATATTGATTAGTTTTGCGTAATATGACTGCAACAACACGAAGTGCAACAGTAGTCAAATAAAGTCCAAGCATCAAGAAATCTAACCAATTCCACCATTGACGAACATAAGCTTTAAGACCTTCTTCCCATATTTGTTTCATTTCACTCCATACAAATCCTTGTAAAAAAATACGAATAAATTACTGCATGATGCTATACATATTAATAAGGAAGGTTAAAATAAATACAGATTATACAACTTTATAACAAATTAGGCTATTGATACCACCTCGTTCGACTTAATTCACATGAACCCTACCAAATAATTTATGTATTAGTATCATCATAAGTTATTCTGTATTCATTCTTTAAGAAAAAAAGTCCATCGTAATTCAAATGGTTATGCTTAGACAATAAAATAATACAAAAAGGCTTTTCCAACTACGAAGAAAGGTGAGTATCTAAGGCTTTTCATATAGTGCTTAATCCTAGTGTCTTCAACAAAAAAAGGCCTCACTATCTGTCTGAATTGGGCCATCTATCCAAGCTACCATGTCTGATTATATTCACATTTCACACCATTAACGTACATATAAATTAAGCTCTATCCTTTCGCATCACAAATGTCACTTTTTTTATCCTATACCATACATTGCTTACTTACTTACGCCTGTTGCCCCTCATGAAGGAGCCCATCACCATTCCCCATCCAACTCTGTCCTTGATAATACTTTCCAGTTGCTATTCATCCTTTTTATGTCTGTTTCCAATTCTCAACACAATGTGTTCTTTGGCTTTCCTCTTTTTTCCATTTCCCTTCAGGATTTCAAGTTATCTCTTGCTGCGTGGTGCGGATTGATTATCTCCGTAATGTATGTTCTATCCACTTACATCGTCTTTTCTTAATTTCCCCTTCATTTGGAAGCTAGTTTGTTCTCTCCTACAGTAGACTGTTGTTGATTGTACCCACTCAACGGACATTGAGTATCTTGCGTAGTTCATCGTGCATACACACACAAATATACAAACATACCTCATATAAATTATGTTGACCGGAATAACATGAAATTGACTTGGTCAGACCTATTTTTGATTGGTCGCAGCTAATATTCTTTCTTTGTTCCGTTGTACTATTTAAACTTGGGTTAATTTAATTTGTTTATCTATTCTCTATAGAATCGGCTTACATTGAATCACGAAACCTCAGAAAATTTAAAAACTCAATTTTTCTACTCATTGGTTTATTACTAATATATAATATCTTTATTGAAAAGTAGTAATGTTTAGAACTTTTTACTGAAGCGAAATCACTACTAGATGATAAAGCGAAATCCATGCTCAAATGAGTACTCAAAAAGAAAGTATACAATGATGTTATATATCGCTGTGTTTATGTGTATATAAAGAAGAAAAATAAGGAAGTGTGTTTGATAATTGAATATAAGTTGTTGCAAGGAAAAAGACGTACTTAGGGAGTTTGATATATTTATATATAATGGTGCTCATTTCGTATTTGTACCAACCTAAAATCAACCCCAGTAATGTAAAATGGAAGTGTTCTTTTATATGTGCAAATCTAATTCATACTGAAATTTGATTCGTCAGCTAAGAGTTTATGTTAAAAATCAGACTTATATTCTTTCTTCACTACCTTCTTCGTTTTAATATCTTTTGTTAACTTAATTCGGCCTACTTATTTCCCTACATACAAATAATATTTTCATAATGTCATACGGTATTGTATATTATATCTTCGACGAGATTTCTCGTTTCAATAATGTGTCTGAATAAGCCCATATTATGGTACAGATATACATGGTACATTAATATAGTCGACCTAAATATAAACAGTAAATTGATACGAAAAATGATTTATTGGTGAATTTTATTACAACTTAATATCAGTCCCAAACTAATTAAATACTAAATAGTTATGTGGCCTGAATTCAAAACCCCTAATTAATATGCAATGTGTGACCTTTATCAATGTTGAAATATTTCGATTTAGCAATAAAGTTAAATATTTTGTTAATTTAGCTGCTAGTGTTCATAAGTAGTTTGATTAATCTATTAAAACATAACTAAAGACAGTCACCCTAATCGCAAGACCAACATTTATTAATCATTGAATATTTATTCACGAATATTGGTGAAATACCTACGTTCAATGGCTATTCAGAACGAAGTAGATCATCAGCTTTAACTGTTAGGAATTAAAATCGAAGAAAAAACAATAAAAATATACTACTGACCAACCAGTGTATGGGTATATTCTAAGGTATTCATTTAGGCCAACAATCAAGAATGATTACTATTATAGCCGGTGATATTTCTCAAAATTTATCAATCAACATTAGGAGACCAACAAAGGGCTCATCACTTCCAACGAAATAACATCATCTATTTAATTTATCAATGATTCTTTTGCTAAGCAATAATTTGTGAAACCGACAGGAAAGCATAAACATCATAATTACGGCTGTACAAACTGGACTGTAGCTGCTACCTTGACATGGTGATCGGGCTTCCCTATCACGATGACTCAGTCGAGCTATACTGGCTGGAACACATGTTCTTCTAGGTTGGTTGGAGAACGGCAGCAACTTAAGGCCTGAAGGCGAATTCGCACAGACTCTCCACCCGAACGCTAGTGATCGAGTAAGAGCTCATGGTGAACTTTCATAGAAATTAGTTCGAGTGTTGTTCGTCAAGATTGTCCGCTCTCCTCGTTCTCATATAAATTTGTCATAGGCATGCTTTTAGAGGTAAGACGTTCATCGTTTGGCTTCCTAAGGGTTGATCTACCAGGAGATCCACTTGTTCACATAGTTCTGATTGTAGAAAACGCTGACAAAAATGTAGTCTTCTGATCATCTTAAACAACAAAGCAAGCATGTTTGGGACGTGGCCTTCTCCCTCCAAATGTAAAATGTTCACTTACTTATGGCCTGCGTCATCACCTGAATTAATTATAGGAAGTGAAGTAGTTGAACCCATCGACTGTTTCATTTATCTTGGAATTCTCATCATTATTAACGGTCTGATATCTGACAAAATTTCAGCACAGGTTCAGAAGGCTCGATTGTCTTTTGTCAACTGGCGTCACTTTTGGCTTAAGTAAGTTATCCGTCTACCAACTAAAGAACACATTCACTGAGCAACAGTTTGGTCCTTTCTACTTCACGGATGTCAAACGTGGCCATTAAAAACAGGAGATACTTATAGGTTATCAGTATTCGATCAAAGTTGTCTTCGAAGTATTACTTGTGTATTTTGGGACTACGAAGTAAGCAGTGACTGGATTAGGAATGGGGTTCTAGGTAAACGTGGGAAATCGATTGATGAAATAGTAAATATTCATCAGCTGAGGAGGTTGGAAATGTGCTATGTATACCCAAACACCACCTACCTTGACGGGAAATATTGTATGGTGTAGGAGTAGGGTAGAATAAAGCTAGAGGAACCATAACCAAACCATGGTATCAGTCCATGAAGACATTTAGATTTGGATTGAGTCATGATAATAGGTGTAGACCACCTCACTGGGATCCGAATGATTATCGTAATCGATCGTTAGAGACTTTGAATAACATGGCTTAAAATCGTCTGCAATGTAACGGGTACATCCATTCTTTAAGTTCTCCGAAATTCTAAGATTTTAAATTGTTCATAACGTCCTTAGCTTTTATTTCGCGAATTTATGTTTTCTTCTCGATATATATCTTCGATACCGAATTTTTCCTATTACCACTGATACTATCACCACTTCTTTTATTCTGGATTTCGCCGAACAACTTCATCTCTCTGTAATAATTGGGTATGGAAATTTGAACTGATGTACATACCTACAGGTCCTACGTTGTAATAGACTGACGGAGTAGAAGTTGCACAAAAAGCAAATGAAGAGCAGTTCTTGCTATTTGAGGTCTAACCACAATAATTTGGTTGTTGGTACTTTTAAGCGCTATTTGACCCTAACTGGTGTTTGACTTTTTTCAACTTTAAATATTTACAAGAAAATTACTGTTACGTAATTATACATTCCGATTTGTAATCTAAAAAGAATACTATAAGTCTGTTTAACTATACAGACTCAAACTCAGGAACATTAAAACACTATCAAAAAGGTTACTACTTTTAAACTAAGTTCACTTAGATCAAAAATTTGATGTTTGTATTCTTAAAACTTACCAATAACCCACCATAATATTAACATTTCAATAACATTTGGATCTGGTCCCCGAATTTCACTACGTCTTTGTAAATCTGTTTTCGTTAATGTATCAGTTGATGCAATCAAAAGTAAGAATATAAAAATTGCAAATGATGCGCTATGATTAATGAATTTTATTAATGGACTTCGCATCAACTGGCCAACACATCCATGTGGATGAATTAAATATGTCGGCGCTAATACCGGCAATGCAATTATGAAACAAAAGCAAAGAAATAATTTTGTAAATGGATGACGTTTACGCCAACCAGGTAATTGATCATACCATAAGGTGGTTAAAAGATGTTGACAATGTGGATGAGCAACGAACTAGTTAGAAAAAAAAGTAGAACAAATAGATAAAATACATTTAAGACTAATATGTAGGTAAATGTTAAACGTTTGGGTTAATTATTAGTGATTTATGTAAGATAATTAGATGTTTGTTTCGAAAATATAAAGCTTAGGAACCTCCTTTGTGAAAATTTTCATGACTGAATCATATCAAGTACATAATCACTAAAAATTAAAAAAAATATCTGAGAATTTTCTCAATGTAATCTAGTTATTGCCACTGTCTTCAGTGAGTAACTGCCTTACAACAGACGCTCTTAAACTCTACTGGTCGCAACTTCTCATTAGAACTCGGAGAGACTATAATTTATGGACGACCTTTGAACGAATCTAATATTACCTTGAGAATTGATAGCCAACCAGTAAACAGTCAGTATAGAGTAAAAATATATTATACAAAACCAAAAATTAAAGTGGATACGCTTGTTTTATATGATCCAAAAACTTGTCAAGGTTAGAAAAATGTTCAAAGGTTACAAAATCATAATGCATAAGGTAGAGGAACACATCCATATGGCTCCATAATAGTTGGTCTCTGAGGCCATGATAAGGTCACAAAATCCCTCTCAGCTTGGACCACATAGCTTTAACATTGTTTGTGTGTACTCCGGTTGTGTAAGTTTATCATTTTTATTATGGATATGTCCCTACAATACTCATACCACTGAACAGCCACAGCTTCAGTAACATCTGCGATTATTGCAACCAATGTTACTGGTGCTTTTATTACACAGTTTGCGGCAATTATTATAATATGCCTTGGTCTCAATCTGGATCGAGCAATAAAAGTTCCTATTCTAGCAAACGTCTTCCTCCAACATATATTACATCAAAGGACAATATCACGGTAGTCTGCACAAAATCTATAAGTCATTGAATACCTGAAATCACAAATATAAGAACTTCTTGGTAGTCTCATTTGTTGTAGCCGCTTAATTGTCAAGTCTTCTCTAAAATTCTCTGTGAACCGATCGTACATGAGCATCTGGCACTGAAATGGGCGCTGTGACCTTGAAATCCCTCAAGCACTTTTGACTGGCTCGTCCATAAATTATAGTCTCGCCTAGAACTCTAGAGAATACATTACGAAGCCGGTAACTAGTGAATTAGTGGGATAATGGAGACATTAAATCATCAGATCATTGTGTTGTAGCGTAGTTGCTTTTATTATTATTATTATTTCAAAATATATCACAATAAGCACTTAAAACACCAGTTTTCGTTTCAATAATCAATCAAGTCCATCTATCATATTAACTTTATTATAGATTATAAATTAAAAACTGTAAATAATTGAATGAATTAAAAGAAATTTAAGATTATTAATATTGTATTCAGTAATATATAAAGGTCAAATGAAAAAAAAGAATCAATTAATCATTTATTCACGCAATATTTAATGATTATTCTTTTAATCATAAGGTCATTGAATAAATTGAAATGAAACTTGATCAAGGTATTTAATTCTAGTTTCTTATTAATTAAAACAAAACAAACCTTAAAATTTAGCGTGAAATAGAAATATAATTCGTCTCCTTTATATGAATCTAATAAACAATTTATAAAGTTCATTATATGATTTAATTTTATGAATATAAGTTATTTAATTATATAGAATAAATTATTAATTCCATACCAATTTATTAGATCAGTGTAGTTTAATTTTCCTGGTAGAATTAAAAATCTGTTTCAATTGATTGACCACTGGGTGTACTTTTAATCTTGAGGGAACTAGTGCCCCTCGACGCTTTCGATCCCATGTCACCCAGTACCACAGTTAGGAATGTTACCACTGGACTATCCGGGCTGCGACCAACCTCCTGTATGACTGAGATGTAATCACAATCGATTGATCCCTAGGTGGTGATCATTGTCATATGTGTCAAGTCGTTCTTAAACAATTGGATACTTTGATTTTTAGTAATAACATTATTTATTATTATTTAATCAGGTGTAATAAATCACAGGATAAAAAACTTGAACTGTACTTCATGAATCGTAACAATAAAGAATAATCAAGACTACCTTTTTTAATTGTCTTCTCACGTGAATGTTAAAATTTTAACCTTGAAGTTGTTCAAAAGGTAGAACAAACTAACTATTTTAATAAATGATTCATTGATTAAATTTTACTAGGTTCAAGTCCCACAGTGGACATGAGCTCTTAGACACAGGTACATCCAGCTGATGAATCCCAAATAGGACGAAACCTGTGTCCTAGATCTACCTGTGCTTATAATGACTTTCTGAGAAGTTCAACAAAACATTTATTCAAATATAATTACAAACAATATCATAACTAGAGAAATATTTTCAATGTATACAAAAGATTATTTTATGATGAAAAATATGCAAAGAATTGTAATTTTATCTAAATATTGAGTATGCTACTTAATTCTACTGAAGTAAAAAGTTTATCCTTACTGTTAGAAATACATTCAAAGTTGTTAAACAAACTTTAAAACGGCTTGACAGAATAAAGATTAATATAATTTTATTAGGGAAAAAAGGCTTTTTAAGTTCCTTTGTCTACTAAAGAAATGCCACTTTTTAAAGTTTTGTTTGTAAAGTTACAATTTGAGAACTTTCAAAGTAAAGGTAAATTTACCAAACCCACTGAGAATTTATTTCACAGTTTAAAGGGATTTAATATAATAAAGAAATAAGTGAATGAAATGTAGTTAAAAAATTGTTTCACTTTATAACTCAATCACTGATAACGTATATTCTATGAAGTATCGAAATAGAAAAAAGTAATATTTTTATATAGTTGAGATCATGAGTCAATTGAAGCTAGACCACCATGAAAAATCTAGAAGCAGGATCGTGGATGTACACAGCTGAGGAGTCCCACAATGGGTCGAAACGGCCGTCCAGTGTTTTCAGGTTTTCCATAGTGGTCTAGCTTCAATTGATTCATGATCTCAACTATATAAAACTACTAAAATCTCCACAAAGCCCCCCTTCTCATAATTTTTTTAAATTTGAAAATAACTGAAATGTTTGTTTAAATTAATTGTACAACTGTAGTCTTAGTCAAGTAACTGATTTTTGTTTATATAAATAGTTAAGTTGTAAAATAAAATGTGTAATGTAGGAATGTAAACATTGAATAAAAGTAATTTATAGTATACTCAATCGTAAGAAAGATTCTTTTGTGTTAAAATGCTGACTAGTATCTCCTTTAATAACAAAACAATAGGAAGCAATGACATTGACATTTAATTATTGTCTCACTCTAAATATGTTTTTGAATTTCGTTTCCAAATGACATCGAATATGCTCATACACAGACATATATACATATATATGATCTATGTTACTCTGATTTTTTTTTCATCAATGTCGATTGCTTCATATGTCATGTTACTCTTTATTACATACACAGTTTCAAGCAGTTAATGCGAAACCACGAATCAAAATGAATTTATACCATTCTGCCCCAATAGTTGTTTTGGTTTTATTCGAATTCGTAAAAACAAACTAAATAAAAATTATAGTTTTGAATATATATATATATACTTTATTTTGAAATCACAATAACTATATCTAGTAAAAATGGATGTGTTATCGAGTATATTGCTGCACTATATCTGATAATACGTTAGAATCATTTGGGTTCTTGAATTAATACTCACAATCATTCTGCTACAGTAGGTCTGAACATACACAAAGGTAAGAACAAGATTCTTAAATAGAAACGGAGAACATCAGCTCAATCATACTCAATAGAGAAACACTGGAAGTGGAAACATTCATGTATCTGGGAAATATCATCGATGAACAAGGAGGATCTAATGCGGATGTAAAGAAAAGGAATTGCAAATCAAGGTCAGCATTCTTACAGTTGAAGTACATATGGATCTCAAAACAACTGTCTGCAAGCCAACATCAAAGCCACAATCTTCATTACGAATGTCAAGATAGTTCTACTGTATGGAACTGAAATTTGTAGAAGCACAACAACCATCATCAAGACTGTATAAGTATTTATAATCAATTGTCTACATAAGATATTCAGCGTTCGTTGTTCAGATACTATAAGCAACGATCTGCCCTGACAGCAATCAAACAAACTTCCAGATGAAGAGGAAATTAGGAAAAGACACTAGAAATGGATAGAAGATATATTACGGAAATCACCAAACTGCGTTATGAGGTAAGTCCCAACTTTGAATATTTAAGGGAAATGGGAAAGAGGAAGACCAAGCAACACATTACGTCAAAAATTGGAAGCAGACATCAAAAGGATGAATAACAACTGGAAAGGATTTTCCGGGACAATGTTGGGTGGAGAATGCTGGTAGGTAACCTATCATCTTCCGCGAGGGTTAAATGGAGTAGGTTAGCAAGTAAAATCGTTTCCCTTCATATACAATCAGACTTTAGTGTGTACGGAGGGTACCTTGCAAAGTTGACATACGAATTTCTTATTTCGTTTGCAATATTTTTAGATGAAAGCTTCCTGTATTCATCAATTAATTCACTCTTAAAACCCTTCCGTTTCCAGTCCAATACTTTCACAATCAGTTTTTTGAAAAGGAAAATTTAAACACTTTTGTAGGGCTATGTCACGTGAATTTTTAGTTTTTTTATAGTCTTCAAACAGAATAAAGAAAGACTAGTCTTGACATTTGAATTAACTTCCTTTGTACACATCATATATATATATAACATTTATCGTTTTTACATATATGTGAAATCCATTGAGACTTTAAGGTTAATTAATCCCTATTGTTGAATCTTTCCTTCCTTATTGAATACTATATATGCCTTAGTAACATTTACAAAAAGCTTATTCTGGGGTTAATCAACATACTTGATTACAATGTTGCGTTTATCCATCATCTATCTCAGTTAAAACTTGAAAAGTGGATAAGAGCTTTTTTATAAAAAAATTATATAAATATATAATGAACATATCGAAGGATTAGTCTATGACATAAGTTTTTAAACACGGTCAGTCTAAAGTGTAT